ACATAACATCAGTTTTATAACATTCTGTTAGTTTTGTTAGTTGATTTTTAACATCTGTTAGTATTCTGTTGTAAAAAATATGAAATTTAAATTCAATTTAAATTCAATTTTATTTGTTAGCTTAATTAACAGAATGCTAACAGATGCTAACAGTCAACTAACATAACTAACAGTCAGCTAATAAAATTAATAGTCAATTAGCAAAACTAACAATCAGCTAACAGAATTAATAGAACATTAAAATCTGATGTTAAATAAGGGTTATTTTCTTCAATTTGTACATATAAAGGGTTAAAAGTGTCATAATATAAGGTGAAGGGCTAAAACCTACTAATTTTGTAAAGTGAGAGGTTAAAACTTACCAACTTTATACGGTAAAGGGTTAAAAGCGTCATATTATAAAATTATGGGTTAAAATCTATTAAATTTGTAAGGTAAGGGGTTAAATGTTGGTTTTAGCCAAGTTCTTATACATTCTTTTTCTTGAGTGATAATCCGTCATCCGCCAAGTACCAGTCCACTAAGGTCACGTGGGAAAAAATGTTGTTTTTTTCTACTTTGGAATAAAAGAAATGATGGTTTGGATTGGAGATGAAGGGGTATCTCTATTCTGGGCCATAACTGTCATAGTGGCAAGGGGGAATGAAATGATTTACCTTCACCATGTCCATGTCTTCTCTTCTCAGTTCTTATCTTGAATCAAAAAGTTTAAGTCGTGCACTTGAAGCCTTTCCAAAAGCATGAATGTGTCTGAAATTTTGACCAAAAATCGTTGGAGGGTAAAGTACGCATGATTGTTGGGCCAAAAAAAAGAGTACGCATGATTGCAAACAGTCACAATTTCCGTATTTGGAATCTCGTGAGGAAAGCGCCTGTCCGTCCCAAAAGTAGCGGTTCTGTACTTTTTCTAATTTTCATTGTTGATAATAAAAACTATAGTGATATTAAGGAATTTAAATAATTTAATAATAATTTTTTAAAAAATAAAAACTTTAAATTTAAATTACATAAATGTTAATAGAGTAAAATTTATTGTATAATTTAAAATAAATAAATATATATATAAACCATCCTCAGCCATGTCCATGTGGTATAGGGTTCAATATGTAGTTTTTACATTAAAAAAAAAAAGAAAAATATTATGCTTATAATGTTATGATATTGTAAGTTTAAATTGTACTATATTATTATATAATTCACTTTTTTTATTCAAAAGATTACATATGAGATATTATATATATCTATTTATTTAATGTTATATAGTTAAAACATCAATTTAGTTCATATGCTTTGGAGAAAAGTCCTTTTTTGATATCTAAAGTTTATTTTATTTTTTTATCCTTTTTTAGTTTCTCCATTAAATTTTTGATGATGTGGCTTGTTAATTAAGAGAATTGCCCAGTTACTTCTTTATATAACTAACAGGGAAAATCTAATGGTAAAAAAAATGATGATGTGGCATCCCATGTAAACATTGCAATATTTCTTTGCTTAATTTATGAATTAAAATACAATTGACTTAGGGCCCAAGATATTTACATGAACTGCTTATATGAATTCATAATTTTGTCCATACCTTATCATTTTGTATTGCGTGGATTTTCTACATAATTTCTATAATGAAGAAATCAAGTATTTTTGTTAATTAACACACAATGTCAACAAAAATGAAAGGACAAACAAGTGGCAGGAAAAATAAACTTTAGGATTACAAAGGGGTTTTCTAAAGTATAGGTGCCAAAATGCGCATGTCACAAAAGTACAAGGACCCAAAATAAGATTTTAACCATATTACATGATATCATTTCGATAAAAACTATAAGATGAGTTTTTTTTTTTTTTTTTTTATAGATCCAAGTAATAATTTAGAAAATAATGCATATTAGTGTTACCTCAATAAAATCACAATTCAAAAACATCATTATCCAATGAATATTTTAAAAGATAAACCGTTGGATCAAATCATTTCATCTTGATGCATGCTAATTTTAAAATTGATCTAATATTTGTAATTATCAAATAAATAAATTGTATTTTGTAATATATTGAACAATATTAAATTTTTTATAATCAATGAGTTAATTAGATATATTTAATTAATTTAAAAATTAACTTGCATAATCTACATAAATAGAATATTAAATTCAATAATCGATTTGTTAAAACATTCATTGAAAGATGGTGTTTTTAAATTAGTACTCTATGAACTCAAAACTAATATGTAGTATTCTCTATTATTTATATTATATTTTAAATGGAATATATCTAGATCAATTTATTGTAGTGTACCTCATACCACTACTCAGTGGGGAACCAAGAATCAATTTCAGATAGGGCCTTTTCTTTTCTTAAACTTGAGCTTAAGCTCTTTTTTTTTTATTTTTTTTTTATCTCTATTTAATCTAAGATAAGGCCTTTAATTCTTTTTCACCTTAAAATCCTACGTTTTTAACTTTATTTTTTGATTTTTTAGAACCCATGGTAGAGTCCATGCCCAACCATGGATGTATGTTGCTCTGCTTCTGCCATTACTTACACAAGTAAATAATTCTCTCTATGTTTTGTATCTTACTAAACTAATCACTGGATTTATAATATTCTCTTTGTGTAGATCATGAATGTAAAAGTTCAAAGCAATATGATATATGTAATTATAAGAATAAAGAAACTGTATTTTTTATTATTTATTTAATGGTCTAAAATTAAGTTTAATGGTGAAATAGTTAAACACATCCAATTAATTTAAAATTTTACACATATAATCTATATAAATACAATATTAAATCTAATTGTTAATTTGTTAAAATAAAAAAAATTATTAACTGATGTAAATTATAGTCGTTATAAGTTGATTCTAACTCTTTTAAATATATATCAACCAATCAACATATTTCAAATTCATATACAAATCAATGGATATGCGAAACTAACTTACAGTTGAACTAAACTTGTAAATGGCAGAATTCAAGCATGAATCTTAATTGGCAACCACAAGCCTAAGATCCTATTTGGATGAACTGTTCAACTATTGTTGACACCTGATAATAGATATTTCCATAATATAAAAAAAAAGATAATCGATATTGAATGACTAACCAAAAGTTGTTATTTATAGTGCATAGTCTCATTCATTGAGAATTAGAGACCATCAGTTTAATATTATTCCATAATAACTAAACCAAATAGAGTTTAAGGCTTTGTAAGACTTTATATATTTCTACTTGCAAATAATATTTCCCAGCCAGTACAGCACACAAAAGTACGGTTCAAGTTATAAAAGAACTAAAATACTCTTAATTATTTTTATAGATTTATTTAACTTATGTTCTAAAGATATAAGTTAAATTTATTAACTATAGTATTTGTAATTAATTTTGTATAAGTTATCATATTAAATTCATATTTTTTTAGATTTTGAGTAAAATTATTTTTTTTAATTTTTATTTTGTATTTTATTTTAATTATATTTGATATAAAAATTTGTGTAAAATTAATTGTAAATATTATATTTAATGAGACTTAACATGTATTTTAAAGGTACATATTAAAAAGTTTTTATTTTTATTTAATAAGGATATTTTAAATATTTTTATAACTAGGATTATACGCAGTTCGGATCAAAAAATATTTATGTTTCTATTTTTAATAATTTTTTTTATCAATAACATAATTTATATAATATTTAAATTTTTTATCAATATAATTTTAAATTTAAATTGCATGATATATAAATATAATAAATTAAAAAAAAAAAAAAAACAAGAGAGGCTTGCCTTGTTTCAACCGTCCAAGTTTCCAAAAAATAAAAAAAAAATAAAAAACGCCAACCATACTAATAGCGCAAGTTTCCAACGCCACCACTGTACTAATTCACTTTAAACCACAAATATAAATAAAATATACTTTATAATTAATCGTCTCAACTGGATTGAATGAATGTGGACAGCATGCAAATTAACTTAGAATTACATATACATGCACCTATGAGGATGAAATTTAGTTGTGGAATCTCTTTGGCAAGGGAACAAAGAATGAATCCATTTCCAATTGAATTAATTCTCGAAATTAATTTTTGTTGGCCCTCATTCTTAGCTTAGATGTAGGTCAATTAAATTAAATGGTAACCATAAATCTTTGGTAGCAGGACAACCTCGTCTTAGGTCAATTAAATTTTGTTCGCGGCTTCTTTTGTACTGTAGAAAAATCACAGTAGCTTTAGGGACCACCTCTCTGTGCATTTGCACATGTATTTTGTACCCAATTATCGAGATCTATGTGCCATTGTATCTACACCCAGCGACAAATCTTTATATTATATTTCTTACCTTAGTTAATTCAAGGGGAACATATTTGCGGCTATATCAGAGTTGGATGATAACACGTCAGCATTGCTAGGGCTAGAAAGCAGTGGCAAAAATCAACTTTTAGCCCCTTACCTTACAAAATTGGTAAGTTTTATCTCATCACCTTATAACATGACAGTTTTAGCTGTTTATCTTACAAAGTTGGTAGGTTTTAAACATTTACCTTATATTATGATATTTTTAGTCATCACCTATACGAATTAAAGAAAATAACACTCACCTAACATCAAGTTATAACATTTTGTTAATTGACTGTTAATATCTGTTAGCATTCTGTTATAAAAAAATATGAAATTTAAATTCAATTTTATTTGTTAGTTTCATTAACAAAATACTAACGGATGCTAACATCAACTAATAGAACTAACAGTCAGCTAATAAAACTAACAGTCAGCTAATAAAATTGACAGTCAGCTAATAGAATTGACAGTCAACTAATAGAACTAATAAAACATTAAAACCTAATGTTAAATAAGGACTATTTTTTTCAATTTGTATAGATAACGGGTTAAAAGTGTCATAATATAAGGTGAGGGGTTAAAACCTGTCACGCCTCAGAACCCAAATTTAGGAACGTGGCAGACGTCGTGCACTTGTGAAAGGGTCCCACAAATGCATAAGGCTCGGAACTTATCATATCACAATCTGATACCACAAAATCTAAAGATAAAATTTTAAAATTTGCCTGATATCATAAAATCTCCAAATAAAGTCTAGCTTACAAGATCATGATTTATATCTAAAATCTATGTTCAATTTACAAGATGGCTAGCCTTCTAACTCGTCACTTCCCTTGTTTTTCCTTGTCCTTGACTTCGCTTCCTGAAATGGTGGACAAGGAAAAACTATGAGATAACTCAGTAAGTAAATATGGATAGCTCTCGGGTAAAATTTTAGTATACCTGATAAACAGTTTAATATAACAAAACGTTCAATGATAAACTATTAATGCAAAATCAAATTTAGTTCAATAGCAAAGCGTTCAATGACAAACTGTTAATGCAGAATCAGATTCAGTTCAATAGCAAAGCGTTCAATGACAAACTGTTAATGCATAATCAGATTCAGTTCAATAGCAAAGCGTTCAATGACAAACCGTTATTGTAGAAGAAAATTCAGTAGTAGTCTCATCTATAAGTCATGGCCAGTGTTTAACAAACTCCCACTAGCAGGCGTCAGTAACAACCAGTGTTTAACAACTCCCATTGGCAAGCGTCAATAATTATCAGTGTTTAACAAACTCCCATTGGCAGGCGTCATTAATTACTAGTGTTTAACAAACTCCCACTAGCAGGCGTCAGTAATTACCAATGTATCATCCCATTGGCAGGATTACAGAATGAACCGGTCATATCAGTAAATATGTCGACATGTGCCAGTGTTTTCAAACTCCCACTGACGGGCGTCAGTAATCATGACTATATCAGAGACAAAACCATGCAGGATTTACAGAAAAATCTGTAATTTACAATCAATCTCAAATTTCAGAAATAAACCAGAAAAATTCCATGTGGGCATGGATTTAACAAAAAAATCAGAATTTACAAAATTCTCAGATCATCAGGGTAGTTAAGTAAATTCCAAGTAGACATGCTCTACTCAATGCAAATGAAAACAATTTCATTTCAAACCAATCATGCTCGGTGCTAATAAAATCAATTTAAACCTTGCCACCATTTCAAAAACAATTTAAAACATGCTTTGAAATTGAAGGGCATTACCATAATTTACTTACCTCAAATCACGTAAAATCGAAAACTCAAGCCAAGTGCTCTAAGCCATAACAGCACCTAATGTTGCAAATAAATTCGCACTAAGGTCAGATTGTGTATTTATATATACACATAAATACACATGCATAATTTTCCCAATCCCACGGACAACATGGAGAAACCAGACTTGGCAAAGTAATAGCTAATTTGTGGGATTTTCTCCAAAATCACAACAGCCCAAATCAAGCTAATTTACACTTAAACCAAGCTTAAAAACATAGCTTAAGCTACTGAAATTTCCCCATTTTCCAACAGATTTTCGGACAACATAGGCAGCAATTAGATGGCTAAATTTCAGCAATTAAATGGGTAAAATTTGGACTTAGAGAAGTTGCCACATACCACAATTTTTCCAGCAAGCAAAATTGGAGCTGGTGGGTTGGGGAAGTCGATGGGATCTGCAAGGGAAACTCACGGATCTACCTCAAAATTGGAGAACCAAAAGCACAGTTTAGAGTAACCCAAGTTAAATGAAGGCTAAAAGGAGGAGACCCATGGCTGTAGCTTACCGAAAAATGCCTAGAAATCACACACCCACATAGCAGCTGGCGGACAGGGGAGGAAGAGAACTGTAGATATGAAAATTCCTTGGCTTTAAAAGGAGTTCTAGGCCCTAAATCTTGTTCTTGAACAAGAAAAGAGGAGAAAAATAGCAAGCTTTTGCCAATTCCTCAAGAGAGGACTGTCGGTAGCTTGGGGGGGCTTGTCGGGGAGAAAAAGAAGAAAAGCAGGTCGTGGGTCTGATGAGGAAGAAACGAAAGAAAAAAAAGAAAAAGAAAAGGCAGTTGATCCTTATCTCATTCCCTTTCTTTTAAGTCCCTCAACTTTGGAGTTTTTAGCTATTAAACCCCAAAACAATGTTTCTCCCAAAATAAGTCCCCTAACTTAATTGATAAAATTCCCAAAATTTTGGGATATTACAAAACCTACCAACTTTGTAAGGTGAGGAGTTAAAACCTATTAACTTTGTAAGATAAAGGGCTAAAAGTGTCATATTATAAGGTTAGGAGCTAAAAGCTACTAATTTTGTAAGGTGAGGGGCTAAATGTTGGTTTTAGCCAAAAACAGTAAAGCAGCTGCTATCCTGCGGTAAAATATAAAACAACACCAATTTATTAATTTAAAGTAATTTTAATTAATATTTTATATAAATTTAATAATTATACAAATAAATAGTACATTTTGAATGTAACTACATAACATTAATATAGTTTTTGTGATATCAAAGCACACAAAAGGCTACAAGCACAACTCTACACAAAAATCTTAAAGGCAGCTCAAGTCAACTAAACAAAAGGAGCTCACTCTGGAGTGCCCAGAGTATATAATGGAAATTGTACCATATGGGGGCCACTTTTGATGACAACTTAAAGAGTGTGTGTTTTAAAAGGAACGAAGGAGAAAAAAATGGAAGGATAACTTCCCAATCCTCTTTTCTTTTGATTTAGATAAGTAAAGTAATTAAAAGCTAAGTAAAGGACTTTCCTCTCCTTTTTCCCCTTCAATCTTTTTGGTTACCAAATAAAGGAATTGCCTTCACTCCCCTTGTGATATCCCAAATTTTCAGGAATTTTATCATATAAGTTAGGGACTTGATTGTGAGAAAAGATTGTTTTGGGCCCTAATGTGAATATTCTGAAAACTGAGGGACTTAAAAAGGGTAAACATTTTGGATAAGGATCGGTTGGCTTTTTTCTTCTTTCTTCTTCCTCACCCGATTCTGCTCTTCTTCTTTCTTCCCGCTGCAGCCCGAAATTTCCCCCCCCAAGCTGCCGGCGACTTCCTCCCTTGAAAAACCGGTAAAGCTTGATGATTTTCCGTTATTTTCTTGTCCAAGAACCTGATTTGGAACCCAGAAATCTCTTCCCCCTGCAGGAGCTTCCGGATCTGCCTTGCTCTGCTTCTTCACCGCCGGCTGCTCTTGCCTTGTGGGGGCGAATTGCTCGGTTTTTTTTGGTAAGAAATAGCTCGAATTCTCCCTTCTTTAGCTTTGATTTAAGTTGGGCTCCTTTAATTTTGGGTTAAACCGTGAGTTCCCTGCAGAAATTCCCCAAATTCCAGCCGGCTTCTTCCCCCGCACTGCCGCCGGCCTCCCTCAACCTGGAGTCTGGTTCCTTGCTTGCAAATTCTGGTATGTGGCAGCCTTGTAAGCCTAAAATTATCCATTTAAAGTTGTTGCTTTGTCATGTCCGAATTTGGCTAGAAAATGGGGATGAATTTTGGTAGTAATTAGACCATGATTTAGCTTAATTCAAGTGGGATTTATGTGATTGAGTGTTAATTGATTGTTGTGAGATTTTTGGAGAACAATCCCGTGAATTAGCTAGTGTTTTGGCCAATTTGTGAAAGTCGGGGGCTACTGTTCATGTCGCGATTACTGTTCTCGGCACTGTTCACGGGTTACTGTTCACACCCCGAGGGCCAACAATTAACGGGGATTTAAATGATTAGTTTGTGATATGAGAACGATTTTGGAGATATTTGATCATGTGGAGATTTATGGAAATAGCATTGTGATTAGGAATGATCCTAATGAGGAGTTTACCTTGAATTTGTGATAGTGGTATTAATTCTTGAAATATTTTGATTTGGTTTCCGATCGTTCTGTCAGTTAGCACTAAGATTGAGTGCCCGGTTTTATGCGAGTGAGGTAAGTAAATTATGGTAACGCCCTTTGATTTTAAAAGCATGTTTTGATTTGTTTTTGAAGTGGTGGCGGGACTAAACCC